TACTTAATGAGTAGCGAGTTTCAGATCTGTAAGACAAAAAAGGTCTGGAGATGGATGACGGTGATGGTTGCACAACAATGTAAATGTACTTAATGCCCCTGAACTATGCACATAAAAGGGTAAAAATGGTAAATTATATGCCATATATATTTTACTACTATAAAAAAGTGTTTTGAACATCTGACATCGTGTTCTACCTCCATAACATTCGTGACGGAGGAAGAATAGGTATTTTAATCTGTGTATAAACACAGGAAGACAGATAGAAGGCCTCAGTCCTCTAACAGCTTTGAGCATGGACTGGTGAGATCTATCATCTTCCCCTGGAATAAACCACCTGCCCAGCTACCTCCGGATGCCTCACCCTTTGCTTGGAGGTATAAAGATAAGTCCCCCATAGTGTTCAACTCCAGGGCCAATGGCAGCTGCGGGGTCCCAGGAGAAAGGGTTTGGGCCTTACTGGCACCTCTCCGCCCTTCTCCTGCTTTCACATCTGGCCAGGGACACTCCCGTTCTGCTAACTTCTCAGACTCCACACGCTGACCCAACAGGAGTGCATGGTCGCGATTCCCTCCCATGACCACTGGCCCTCACAGTGGCTGGGTATCCTGGTGGGGCGGCCTGCACCTCCTCAAGCTCCAGCCCCCTCTGGATGGGCGAGTAACTCCCTCGGTGCTTCTGTCCTGTGTCCAGCTTCCTTTGTCCTCTCCAGAGGTCCCTCCTGCGCTTCACCACTGGTGGTGCTCCTCCAAATAGCAGCTCCCAATCCCCAGGACAGCTCTTCAGGACACAACCCCTTCCTCCCAGGAGACCCGCAGGTTTCAGCTCTCCTGGGGCCACGGCTGGACCAAGTCCTCAATTGCTTCCTTGCCATTATCCTCTTTGAACTCCCTCTCTCTCCTCTAAAAGCCCCTCTGGCTGCAGACTCCTTAATTCCGTGATTGCTCCTTTCCAAAAGCAGGTGCGCCTGCCCCGGGCCTCTTCGGACTTTCCATCACAGGCCAAAGGAAACCCAGAGAGAGCTTGCAGGACACCGGGGCCGTATTCAGACAGGCGCAAAACGACCCTTCCTCTTCTGTGCGCCTTAGGGAACTGCTGAAGGCAGGCAAGCCTGGGGCTCAGGGGAGGGTCCCTGAGCGGGCAGTCAGAGCTGCCCCCAGGCCCTGGCAAGGAGGTTTTCCGAGGCTCCGCAGTTCTCGAGTGTGTGTGTATGTTTTTGGTGGTGGTAATTGGGAGGCAGGGGGTCAAGACCGGGAGCGCAGAGAGTGAGAGAGGACCTCCTCCGCCCATCCTGGGCTCCTGGTTGATCCTAACCTCCACCCAGCGTCAACTTTTTGCTGCTCCCGTTAGATGGCGCCCAAGACTTTCTAACCACTTGTGAAAGTGCTCCTGGCCCGGAACAAAAAGAACTGTGGGGTGTGAGTCTGAATGTGTGTGAATGCGAGTGCGCGCGCGGGGCTGGGCACAGGGCACGCGAGTCGCCTGGCATTACGCTTGGCCCCGTCGCGAGTCGGCCCGGCCCAGGGCTGGAGCGCGCTCACGGGAGGAGCTGCGCGGCCGGCGGAGAACTTCCTTCTTTTCCCTTCGCTCTCCCTCTTGGGCTCGCGCCTAGGCCCTGGCCACTATCCCGGAGAGAAGCCGGGCGACCCGGCCGCGGGCTCAAGCAGCCAGCGCTGGCTGCAAGTGACCGCGGTGCGCGGGCGGAAAGGGGTCCCGGACGTGCGGGTTGGAGAGCTGGGACGCACACGACAGCCCCTTTCTCCACCCTTACCGCCCCAGCGCTCACAGCCGCTGCTCTGTTTTTAAGAGAATTGGGCAGGTGCAGGTTTGGTTGTAGCGGTTTTCGCCGCTCCAAGGCAATCGTTCAGTGTAAAGTTTCCTAAGCGTACTGCGTGGGCGTGTTTCCAGAAACACAGGGCAAACTTTCTGGCTCCCAAAGCCAATTACATTAAACAGACTCTCTTATGAAAAGGCCCTTGGGGACCCTAGGGCGTCAGATGCGACAGCTAATTTTAAAATAACGGGTGATTAAGGAGCACGCTTTCTCTCCAGCACCAAGTTCACCTCTTCTCCCACCCCCTCTAAAATAAGTGACTTGACGATAACTGATCCCATCCCCTAGTCCTCTCCTTAATGCCAGTCTGGACGCGCACTGTCCAGGAGAAGGGATGCGTCTCCTCTCCCTCGAGAACCAGCGCGGAGACCTTCTTTTGTGCCTCTCCTTGGCTGTGAACTTTCCTGCGCGGTAGGTTCTCCTTTAAGAAAGTAGCATCCCTATGAATATTTAATACCGTGCGCGGGCCAGCGGGGCGGAGGGGAGCCCACGGTCCGGGTTTCCGCGCGCGCCGAGACCCGGGCGCAGAGCGAGGGCGTCCCCACCAGCCTGACCGCCGCGGGAACTCGGGGACGGGGAGGGCGGGGGTTAGCGGGAGGAAAGGGTAGACTGAAGAGGAGCTGGGAACGGGAGGGGGGCTCGGGGCGAACGGGCCGTCGTGTTCATTTCCATAAGAAAGCTGAAATCGCAGTTGGAAGCAGGATTTCTCGCCCCTGCGGCCCTTCCCCCATACCCGGTTTTCTGCAAGAAGCGGGCTCCGGAGCTCAGAACCCGAAGTGTGTGCTCTGGTCTTTGATGATGTTGATAAAATGTGGTTTCAAATGTTGTCCCGAAGAGGCCGGTTTCCTGTCTGTGTGTGGAATGGAAGGACCGTGCCGGGTGAGTCCAGAGCACTGGGGAGCGGACAGGAGGCTCAGGGCATAGGAGAGGGAGGGCGCAGCTGATGGGCGCGGGGCATCTCTGCAGGGGAGGTTCTTCGGGGGGGTTTTGAAAAGGGAAGCCAGGTTGAAACCAAGTTTCTCGAGTAAGGAAGATTTTGTGTGTGTGTGTGTGTGTGTGTGTGTGTGTGTGTGTGTGTGTGTGTGTTCGGGGGTGGGGAACACGATGAGGGAAGAGGTCACGAAAGCCCCAGAACCCAGGCGGCCCGCGCGTGGGAAGGTCTGGCAGGTCTCATCTCCCTCTTCAAAGAGCGGGGGAAACTTTCGCTGGCCGCTGCTGACCCTCTTCCTGCGAAGGAATAAAGTGAACTTGCCCAGATACTGGATTCCACTAGCGGTTCAATTGTTCAGTTCTTTCTGCGTTCGCATTGAGCACTGAGTTTCTTTTTGACTTGCAGTGTGAATAGCAGCCATGTGACCTCAATTCTATATGATACACACACACACACACACACACACACACACACACACCCCTCCTAGGTACTTTATGATCCCATCTGGAGAAATTAAAACCCAGATCTGTAATGTTTATTCTTAGATAGTTTACCAAAAGCAGGGGGGAAATGTGTGAGACTCATGTCTGCAAATATAACAAAAGTACTTTCCCTTGTGCTTGAAAAGTTGCCTGCAAATGGCTGGCTTCCGTTTACTGACTGCACCACCTGTACCTCTCCATGAAACTAAATGGAGTCAGGAATAAAGCACCAATCAGATCAAGCAATTAAATACCAATTATGACTATTAATGACTTTATTACTAATGACTGGAGTTGAGGACTCCAAACCCGATTGAGGTAATCAAGCTGTTTTAAAATTCTGCTACCTGAGATTTTTACCGCATTCCTTCCCCAAAATAAGAGGTTAAAAAAGACAGAAGTTATGTTTTCGAAGAGTTCTCCAGTAGGTATTCATGGTCAATGTTGAACTTATTTTTCTCAGTAAAGTGTATTGCTACTGCTAGTAAATAATGGAGTCTTCCTTTCTGGCTCTGCCAAGTTATGCAAAGTGTAATTGATGATGGTGGTTACACAATATATGGTACTTGGTTTGGATGCAGAACTGGGATGGGGCAGGGGTGCTTTCTTCAGTTACTCTGACAATCTGGCAGACCCTGGAAGATTTTAAGGAACAAGTGTTTTAATTCTTCAGATGGGGTAATGGCTATTGGGATGTTTCGAAGGTGAGGAAATGAAGAATGGGGAATCCAGACAGCAAAGAGAAAGAAGGAATTAGGCCTATGTTTTGAATTTTCTTTTTGCTCATGAGTTGAAATGCCTTTAACTTGCCATAAGTTACGTGACTGAAAAGAAAAGGTTACTGAGAACAGTATATTGGTGTAAAGGCTACTGTGTAGCCGGGGTTATTACTGAAGATGATTTGCCAACCCTCCTTGCCTGTTGATTGACACCCCTTCTTATCCCACATGGAAGTCCGGTTCATTCTGGGATAGGAGGAGAAGGCCTGGAGGGAGGAAGGGAATAAATTCCTGCTGGAGTCCATGAGAAGAAAGGAGGGGGCAGTTAGTAGGAATTCTTTAGTCACCATGAAGCAGGCTGGGGGCAGCTGGGCTCTTGGAGGAGCCAGCAGCTCATCTTGATGTAGGTCATCTCTGTTTATTGTCCCATAGTTCAGCTTTTCAGGACACAAGAAGTGTTTGGAACAATGAACTTCAAGTCCCTGGCTTGGGATCTTTCCCCTTCACCTCCCTCCTAGGTGGAAGCCTACAGCAGCGCAGCAGCATCTGGTTCTGATGTGTTTACCAGGCTGGTATGGAAATGCCCAGGCTGCATGGCAGAAACCTGAGCTGCTAGTGACAAGCACACTCCTCTGCTAAGCAGCGAAAAGTTTTGATACTTTTTGAGCACTGGGTGGCCTCTTCTCTTGATGTGAAGCACATGATCCCCCCTCCTCATTTCTATTTGTCAGAGTTAATTGCCCTGCAGTGGAGCAGCTCACACTTCAGGCAGTGCCAAGAAATACAACAGGGAAGGAATCCTGCACAGGTAACAGGATGGCATGGTGTTACCTTAGACACATAGGGATTCAAAAACCTCAGTGGAATGGAATGGGCCTGGGGTATTCTCCCTTTGGTGCCTACCTAGGGACAAGCCTCTTTGGCCTGGCCCAGACTGTGGGCAGCTTATGTATGATGGCCCTGAGTCCTGAAGGTGAAGCTAGTCACTTTCTCTAAGTGGACAGTCGACTCCAGAGGCAGTTCTAAAGAGGAGAGCCTCAGGTGTCCACAACAATTTCGTTTCTGTTCTGGGGCACCAAGAGGCACCCTGAGAACTCAGAGGACCCAGAGGCTCCCCCCAAGCAAATTTTCTGCTGACCCTGGACACCCCTTGAAAGAGGGGACAAGAGGCTGCCTCCAGCAAGGACTCCCAGCAAACAAGTTCAGCTTGGGCTCTGCCTACCACTAAGCCTTTATGGGGGTGGGGGGAGGCAGAGTTCCTGAACAGGGCAGAGACAATCCGTTGTTCCCCTTTCTGGTGTCAGAGGCAAAGAAGCCTGAAGGGCTGGCGGTGGTGCTGGCTCTGGGTTTATTGACTCTGTGATCCTGTCCAGCTGTCCTACAGGGAGTTCCAGAGCTCTCCCAAAGTGCATGGGGAACTGCACAAGCAGGACTGGGGCACAATACCAGAAGTTATTTGTCTCCTAGAACCTGGCACCCGCTCCACTTACCTTACAGGAGACCCACATCACTCAGTTCCCAGGACACCTGGTGGGAGAGTCTGGTGAGAGTTGGAGGCAAGCTTCCTCTACTTACAACTTGTTTGAAAATGGACATAAAGAGGAGAACAGACACTCCATCGCCCATACAGGGCCTCCTTTGTGTCAGGAAACCTATCCTCTCCCAGGGCACCCTTGACACTCCCCTGGGTGGACCTACACATTGTTCAGGACCTGTTCCCTGTCCCCAAATAAATATAAATGAGTTTGTTTCTTTAAAAGAAATATTACATCTTTAAACTTTTCCCAGCCAGAATCCACTTAATTTCATCAAGGTCTCTTGCCAGCAGCCATAACCCAGGCCAAAGAGGCTTGTCCCTAGGGAGGCACCAAGGGGAGAATACCCCAGGCCCATTTCACTCCACTGAGGTTTTTGAACCCTTAGGTGTCTAAGGTAATACTACCACCATCCCCACCTGTTTTCACTTCTTTCTTTGTGTCTTAAGATCGCATTTTAGGAGGGTTTATATAATGTTGTTCATGTCAGCAGCCCCACCCTCACCCCACCGCCCTATATGGAATTATAGTTGGAAAGCACACACACATAGAAAATCTTTGAAGTTTTTTTTTCTGCTATTCTTCCTGACTAGAAGAGTTGACAAGACATAGACACATTAAGTTGCATAAAATACAGTAGCGTGATCAGCCTAAATGCATCTCATTTGCACTGTTTGTAGCCAGGGGTGGGGGCTTGTGTCACTCATTGCCTCCCCCTCCTCCGCCCAAGCCAGACCAGCCGGCTGGAATTTCAGAGCAGGCCCCAAGGCAGCAGCCATTAGGGAGGTGGAAGCCCTAGCCCACCCCAGGTCAGCGGGGGTAGGGGGTGGATAGGGAAGTTGTCTGGAGGTCTGGCCTGAGGGCTTGAACCAGCTTTGGCAGACCTGGGCTCTGAGAGGCTTGGCCGGTGGGTGCCCGCGGCTGGAAGTTGCAGGTCTGCAGCCATGCTTCTGAGCTTCTCCTGGGCTGAGTTCAAGAAAGGGGACACCAAGAAGTAGGGGAACAGTCACTGACTATATTTTACATCCACGCCTACCCCTTTCCCAGAGTTGTGTTCTCACCACCCACTTTGTCGGCGGACGAGAAACACTCCTGCCTTATGGGTTCCTGCACCTGCTCCTAGACCTGAACTCGGGCCCTGAGCTCCTCACTGCCGCCTGCTCTGTACTGAGCCCCACTCCTGAGACCGCGAGGTGCCAGAACAGCGCCTCTCCCACCAACTTCTAGACGCCTGTAGGACCTGCGCAGGAGCCTTCAGAATCCCGTGGGGGTGTGGGGGTGAAGTTGGAGGTCATCCGGGTGATTTTTTCTTACTTTTTCCCAATTGTTCTCCTGCATTGATTTCAACTCTTCCAGTCTCCCGGTGCTGGGGCGCCAATCCTTTCCCACCAATTCCTACCCATCAGCTGGAGGTCCTGGCCCAGGGTCGCCCCAGGATTCTATGGCGGCAAGGGGCGCCGAGTAGAGGGACGGGAGGAGCTGGGTCCTCGGGAACCAAAGGGGACCTCAGCAGGCGCGGAGTGCGCAGCCTTGGCTGCTGGGAAATGCCCAACTAGCCGCTGTGAGTGCTCACAGCTTGTCGTGGGGGCGTCCGTTCTGCAGCTCAGGTGACTCAGACGCCCCGCCAGCCCCACCAGCTCCCGGCTTCTCGAACGCTCTTCTGCTCGCCCAGCGGGGAAACTTCAGGGCCTGCCTCGTCAGGCCAGATTGCAGCCCGCGACCTTCCCGGATTAACCAAGGGCGAGGCATGTTGCCCAGCAAGGCTGCCGCGTAACTGAGCCTCCCGGGGAACAGCCATGACCAAAGACCCGCGGGCCCAGGCGCGGGCACCTACCCCTACCAGCGCAGGCCTGTGGGAGCGCAGGGGCCGAGGCCGAGACTCTGGACATCCAGCCCCACACCTCTGACGACCCGGGCACATCTGCGGAGCCCGGGAGAACAATCAGCGGGCTCTGCGTCCCGGGAGCTGGGGACACGCCTGCAAGGTGTGTGATCCTTTAAAGATCCTTAGTACTAGTTTTGCAGGAAGCCTTTGTTATAGCCTTGTCAGCCTGCGCGCTTTCAGCAGCTCCCCCTCCCGGACCCCTCGATTCCCTCCCGGCTCGCCCCCAGCGGAGAGGGCCTGGCGCAGGGGATCTGCCCAGGATCAACCGCCCTCTTTCAGCTCCCCTTCTGCAAGGCTCTTTTCCGTTGGTGACAATCTCCCCTCCGTGCCTGGGGCAGATAAGCACGGTTAGCCCCGCCTGCAGTATTGGGGCGATGCTGTCCTGGAAGAACCGGCTTTCTGAATGTGACCTCGGGATGCTGCAGCGGCGCAATACTGCTACTGCTGAATGAGTAGCTCTCCTGCCACCGCAGGGCGACTGTGGTGGGCACAGCAGGGCGCACAGAGGAGGGGGTAACCTGCCCGCCCAGGCTAAGGATTTGAGGGTTCTGACAAAAAGAGCTGGTTGAGGATGACACAGTCGTGAACAGACCTGGCTCCTACTGCACCACAAGACAACCAGGTCCCAGTAGTCTTGGGTACCACTGCCCCCACCATACCACCATTGTAAAGTACGGAGTCCTACTTAGCCAAGGTGCAGCTCTAGGCAGGATCTCTGAAGGATGCTCTGGCACACGGATGGTGGAGGTATAACTTTACCTGCACACAAGCTTACATGTGCCCTGTCATATATGGCTACACGTTTCCCCATTTCCCCACAGTCTTCCTATTTAACCTGTCTTCATTCCTTCTTTCTAGGGCTTTCCGCCTGCACACAGTCATTTGGAGAAAATCAAGTGAGTGCACCTCTCCCCACAGAGGATTCTGTATGTTATGTAACACACTCACACTGGGATTCCTCAAGTTACCATTTTGCCCCAAATCAGCCAGCACTTGGTTTTCTGGCGGGGGTGTCAGGATGATGCAAATGGAGATGGAAGCTTCATTCCCTGGGGGCTTTTATTCCCCTCCTTGAAGCCCCAGTTCAAGGCCCAGGAACAAAGGGGAAAGGTAACTGATCTCTCTTTTGGTCTTTCTCTCCCCTCACTTCCACCCCCTCACCTGCAGTCCCTCCTCTTTGATAAATAGAGGAAAGCCTTTGGGATCAGGTACATATGTAAATACTGCTGACCTTGGCCGCCCCTCCTCACTGAGAAGCAGAAAGCCCGTTTCAGGTGCAGGCTGCTCCGTGCCTTTGAGTGTCCACCACTTCTACTCCCCCAGGCTGTGTGGGACTCAAGGCTGCTCACTTAGCCTCCCTCTCTCGTTAAAAACATTCAGGACAACTATTAAATAGTTCTTGGAAGAGTTAAAGACCTTCTTTCAGTAGGGAAACGTTTTTAAAGCCCTGCTTGGCAGAAATCTTTAAGGCGTACAAAGTCGAATCAGTAGGCTTGCCTGAGCGATTTTGAAATTTGAAAGATTTCTCCCCATGAAATGGTAATTTAAAATAGTTCGTAGATGTTGTTTTGTTCTACGATGGTTTTTTCACTATTGTCACCTAAAGATTCTCAAGACTAAGCTACTAAGACATTTCTTTTCATTTGGTCAGTTTCTGGGTGATACTATCCTTTCTGATTAGACCTATTTAATTTATTTTTTTAACTCTGCAGGAGAGTATTCAACCTTGGAAATGTAAGTGAAACAGACTCACCCTCCTTCTGAGACCTTGATAGGGGCAGAAAGGAACAAATCTGGCTAGCCCCACTCACACCTCAAAGTTTCCCTGTCTAAACCTGGATACAGTGAGGGTGGTGGGTTTTGACACCGTTTATTTTCTTGCTGGCTCAAGGAAAATTCTTTGAAAAGAACACCTATTCTATTTCAGTGTGCAATGTTCCAGCCGACTAAATGGGCTTGCCTTATGCGGAGAGGCAGTCCTGGAGGACAGAGCTAATGGGTGGTCTCCCAGGAAGCTCATCAGAACACCTCTTGTTCCTTTTCTTTAAAAGAAAAAACAATTTAAAAAAGTTTTTGCTTCCCTCTCAATGTTCATTCCATTATTTTGTAGCTACAATAATGAAACATGGGCAGCAGCGATCATTCTTTTTGTACTATGTAATCATGTCTAGTGCTGGGACCTTACAAAGCCCCAGACATACCTCAGGTGTATTCTGCACTTTTCATATTTATTCACTGCTCATTGGGTCACACAGATAATTCACACTTGATTCCACCTTCCTCTGGACAACTCTCCTTCAAACAACGCCCCTCTATCAACTTATAGGGAAAGGGGATTCCCTTAGAGAAAACTTCTTGAATTAAAAACCAGACTCAGTTTCACCAGGTAACTGATCCTGGCCATACCCGTGACTAGAAAGTCATCACCTAACACTCTACCTAGATATAAACTCTCAGGAAGGAGGCAGGCTGGTGGGCACATTTCCACAGACATTTCTAAAACTGTGACAACTGAATACATTTTACAGATACAGTTTTCGTATATTCCCATCCAGCTTAAGGCATTTAAAATGCAATTTTGTTCACATGCACGTGCGTGCACACATACACCACACGCACTTGTCAACTAGGGGGATATTACCAACCCATTTCCACTGGGCAATTCTGGTAACAGCAACTACAACTAAGAAACTTCTTTTCTGAGGAGTAAAAAAGAAAACAAACACCTCTCTATTTTAAAAGGTTATTTTATATTGTTTAGCATTCTTTCAAAGCAGGAATTGGCTGGACACTTCTGCTCCCTTTTCAAAGAACAGGTAAACTACTCTCCTACCCACCCCCCTCCCCAAGACCCAAGCCATTTTTAAAAGCTAAAATTTCTGTTTCCAAAGGAAGAAAAAGGAACAAATTCCATTGATGAATTACATACATGGAATGTGGCTTGTCTAGGACATTTGTATTTGTAAATAAATGGCTCCCTGTTTATTATGTATGTTTTACTGGAAGAAAAAAAAAAAAGGAACTCTAACGCCTCTGAGCATGTTACAATACATCAAATATCTCCACTTACGGTTTGTTTAAGTTCCACTGTTTCTTGGTACACACTAGAAAGAAATCGGGTTAAATGGAGTCAGTTATGGGGTTTAAAAGTCCAGGCTGACTTGGGGACGCGGCACCTCTAAAGTTCTCCTGTTTGTCAAAGTGAGGGGGGAAGGGGAAGTAGCTCCCCAGGAATCTTATGGGGATTAATCTGGGGTTTCGTCTTTGTCCCGGGATCTTTCTAGGGCTGACCACTGCCTCCGTTTGCAGCTTCAGAAGCGAAGCTGGCGTGCGATCTCCTTGGCGGGAGGACTGGGCACAGTCCCTGCCTTGCCCAGCTGCCGGAGCCCGCACATCGCGGTCTCAGGATTTCCCCGTAGGCCTAGGCCTGCAGTCCTCGGGCGGAGACGGGGCCTGGGGGAGGGACCGTCACCGGGCCAGGCACAGGCAGTCTACCCCGGTGCCTGTAGGGTGCTCGAGTTTCCCACACGCGGGAAGCGGAGGCGTGGGCCAAGCGCCGGGGGCTACCCAAGAACACCACTGCCCAGTGAGACGCGCAGGGCCTGGCGGCGCGAAACTTCCACAAAGCCGCCGGCCGCCTCCGGCCTTGCCTCCGCTACGCAATCCCAGCTGCCTAGACCTCGGTGTCTTCCCAAACAATGAGCCCAGCCAGTGCACTAGACTGTTCCGCTCTGACTTCTTCTGCCCGCACATGGGGACCCCAGCGAAAGGTTACGGGTTGGAACCAGTCTGCGCATCTCCTTCCACGCGGCGCATCCTTCGGGAAGACAAACAGAGTACGTCCCCACATCCATTTCAGGCCCTGGTCTGTGGGCTGGGCCACAGTCCTGGAAGACCCAAGGGGTCACGGGTCCAGATCCGTCTTTACTTGGTCCTCCGCTCCAGGACTCCAGGGCCCTGGGCAGCAGAGAGGTGGATTTCAGAGAGAGTCCGGGTCAGCCAGGCCTTGAACTCAGCCCCTCTGAACTCCACCGTCAGCAGCGGGGGCGGCAACTCAACTCTCCCGGGAGGAGGATGCACCCCCAGAACGGAAAATCCGCAAACGTCGGGCAGAGAACCACAAGCATTTCTACCTTTCTTTCCACAAGCCCCCCAGAAAGTTATCGCCAGAACCTCTGGGACCTGAGCCGACTCCAGCCTCCAGCAACTCCCTCAACCTTCCAAGGAAACTTTCAGAAGTTTCCCTTTCCCTGGCTCCTCAATTCCTTGGACTTTCTCCAGCCCCCAGGTTTGCTTATTACTCTGCTGGCTGCCCTTTAGTCTCTAGGGTTCCCCAGGCCCGAGTGTTTCCAGAATAATAATAATAATAATTGTTATTACGAGGCTGGGGAAGAACAGGATCAGAGGGTAGGAGGGACTGAGGGAGAGAGTGGAAACGTTTATGAAAAGGTTTATTTAAACCTGTGTTTCAAAAGGGTTCAGTTGACAATTATCAGTAACCCCGATAGACAACTCCATTAAAAAAAAAAAAAAAAAGAATTTACTACTGCTCTTGAAAGCCGTTATTTTTTACATCGCTTTTTAGGAAGATAGATGAACAAAACATCGCGTTTCAAGCCATTTTGATCTGTAATTGAAAGGCAGGATCGGTTTGTATTCTCCTACGGCTTTTACAGAAGTTGCAGTGATCCAAAGTCGGGTTGCTGTGTCAGAGTGGCATTTTTATTAATGAGAATACAAAAAGCTTGCATATTCTTAGCCCTGCTTGAATTTAGTTGCTAAGCAACCGGTGTATGGTAATTCATCCGCGAAATTTAAATCTTCGAGAAAGGTTCGTGCGTTTTGCTGAATGGTCGCCACGAGGAAAACAACTTGTGGGACCCGCAGCAGCTGCCACAGTCTGGCCGCCCGGCCGTGCCGGGCCGAGCAGGGACCCGGCCGCCCCACCGCGACCGCCACCGCCCCACCTCCGCGCCCAGCCCTGCCCTCCCTCCCGGAGAGAAGCGAGCTTTGGACACCCGGCTGCCTCGGGTCCCCCTCCCCCTCCGCCTCTTCTGATCCCGGGTTTTCACCAGAGGCAGGCCTTCCACCTGACCCAGTCGCCCGTACCCCTAGGGCTTCGGGGTCCAGACTGCGAATTTCCGCATTCCCCTCCGCTCACGCGCACCCACATGCACACGGCACGCGCGCGCACACACCAGCGCACACATCGTGCCGCCACGAGAATGACTGTTGCCCTCTTCCCAGACCCCTCTGAGGTCACTTCCAGAGCCAACTCTTCCTTGAGGAAGACCGGACTCATCAAGAACGCAGCCCACAGCCCGCCAGAAGGCCAGGCGGCCGCCTCTGGCCGGCAGTGACATCATAGGCTCCTGCTCGCCAAGCTCGCGCCCACATTTTAGGATACAGGAACAAACACGGATGTGAAATCAAGAATGAAAGAGAGAGTAATCTAATTAATAGGCCATGAGCCAGGCTAACAAAATCAAAGAATCTGATTACACAAGTACCCGTCCTGCTATCTCCGCCGCCCCCACCCCCAGCTCCTCCAGCCTGCGCACTATTTCCTTTCCTAGGCTACAAAGTTCAGGATGCAAACGCAGAGCCCTCTGCTTTCCTTATTGAAATCAATGTCAAGCCTGCCATGGGGATCCCGCACCCAGGAGGTCACATGGGTGAACTTCAGGCCCTCAGACCAGCAGCCCTGAGGAGCTGAGATGACCAACTGACCTACAGAACTTGGAGAGCCTGAGGGGTTGCCTCACACTTCTCAAATGCATCACTCTTAACAGCAGCAGCAGCAGCAGCAGCAGCAACAACAACAACAACAACAACAACAACACCTGTGCTGATTGCTTATGCTGTTAGTAGCTGGACTAGGACAAAGGGCTTCTCCACTCACAGTCATTTTATGGATCATCTAAAGTTTTTTCTTCAGTATAGCACAACTCTTCTTTTTTCACATCACCTTGCTTCTGGGTCACCGCAAACTCCCAACTCTTATTACAACTCCCTTTCCCAACATAGATGTCTGAGCACAGTCAGGTATTAGGATATCACTGAAACACAGCATCTGCTCTAATCGTTGCAGCCAGCCACGTGCATTTCATGAAAGAAGCAAATTCTTTAATTTCTGTCTTTCTGCCTTAAAAAAACAATCAGGCCCACCTTTTAAATAATTAATTTCAAGTCTGCATCCAGTGCCAATACTTGTTGCATCCATTTTAGAGTTGATTAATTACCCTGGAACTTGGGCAAACTACACTCCATGTGGAGAGAATGTTTCTTCCTTCAATTTAGTACTGAAAGCTACAAGTTATTAATGGATTTTACTCAATTTACATACAAATTAGTGCAAATATGCCCATCTCTTAAAGTACATTTTTGTATAAATATATAAAAGTATCATTTTTGATTTAGCTTGAAGAGGTTGATCATTTATTACAAAAATAAACGAATAAATACAACAATATATTGTTGCTTTCAACAGGATAAATACTTTACAAATATATAATTTAAAAAACAAATTTAATTGTTAAAATTATTTAAAATATTACACTTATCGATAAAACTATCAATAGTATATACTGCATTTAATATTAGAACCAATTATTCTCTGAATGTTCAAAACCATTCATACAAAACAGATTATGAGCATGGTCATGAGCAAACACTGGAGGCTATAGGGCAGCAGAGGCAATCGCTAAGATCAATAATGAACAGTTCTACCTGGAACAAAGAAGTAGTCCTTGGCTAAGTACTAAAAAAAAAAAAAAAAAAAAAAAAAAATTCAGAGCAACAACAGCAAAGTGACTATTTTCAATACACCTTGAATGATTTATCGCACAAACTTGCCAGGGGAAAATGGTTGTGGCGGTGAGGTGACCGACGGAGGCTTGGACAACTGATCAAGAGCCACAGGAGACTGTAAACTGTAAGTGGGCCTAGCTTGGGATTAGCAAGGCTGATGGAACAGAACTTTGTCACTTTCCTTTGGGTTGGAAGGGGAGGAGGGGTTGGATTGAAATGGAGGAAACAAATGGGCGCTTTACGAAGCACAAGACACTTGCGCTGCAAAGGAACACAATGACCAAATTCATTAAAAAGATCTGGTGATATATAACAATATTTTCATTATTTACATGTGTAACAATATAAGCCTTAGCACAAAACCTCTCAGTTATATCTGTCCTCTTTTGTTTTTCAACCATGAATTTCATTTTGTAATTACATTCAAAGGGTTGATTAAAAAAATGGAGTGCAAGCATTAGCTCACTTTATAAAATGCAAATAATGAAACAAAATGGGTTTGCTTTCCTAGCTTCTCCAATTAAAAGTTACTCTGCTACCCTCAAATCAGGGATTCTTCCAAAGTAATCAGCAAAGTTTGCTTTTTAATAGAAAACAGTGTGAAATCTAATGTTAGCTCTTTTGTTGTCAGCTAAATCAAGTAAGTAGATACCTCCCAAAATTTTTTTAATAGACCCATTACTTGTCTAATCAACCACCACCATTCCCATAGGAAAAACAAGATTCCATCTCACGTGCCAGTAGTATCCACCACATAAAAACAACCTGACCAGTCCTCAGCTTTCCACGAGGACTTTTTTGCTTGCCTCTCTAGACACCCCCAAAATGATGAACTTCTCCCCCACCCCCACTCCAGGTTGTAAATTTGCTGGGCATAGGGATTACAGCAGCAAGAGAAATAGGGAACAAGAAGGCAGAGAAAAGTAAATTGTGGTTTCTGGTCTTCATTTTTTTTCTTCTCTCTGTTTAATATATGTGGCCTTTTTCAGATTTCACAAATCAAAATGATTGTGATTTTTAGTAGGATTTGGTGTTTAAAATAATGCAACCCAATACATGGCCATCTGGCTGGGCTTGATTTATGAAAGTGACACAGGGCCTGTCTGGGAGAAATAACTGTTCCTTGCTGGTCTCACAGTTTTCAGGGTTTTTTAACCCCTGCATTGGTATCACAGGGAGAGGGAGTGAAGATGAGAGAAGGAGGAAAAAAAGTGAGTGACAGCTAAGTGAGATTGGGGGAAATTGGTCTATAAAATCATTGCTCTATCACTGCTAAATACTTCTTTTTTTAAAGTACAATATATAGGGACTCAACTAAGCAGAGCCTTTAGCGTCTTAAGTACTCACAACCTGAGGCATCACACTTTCATTTCCCCACATTGTAAATATTGAAACACTAACTTGATCAATGTGACCACTCTGCAGGGTTTAGGTAAAAGGTGACCTAAAAACTAAAATCCCCAGCACCAGTAAAGAAGATCTAGAATCATACTGGGGAGAGAAAAAAACACAGAAATATAGAACCTTAAGTCTGAGTTGGTGATTGCACAGACGATATGCAGTGTGGACCATAATCAGGATTTTAGAACTATATTCTTTCATTACAGGGGGAAAAAAAATCCCCAAAAGCTTAATAATTTAAATTTAATTACATATAGTTATTGACGGGAAGTAATTGATATCAAAATATTTTATAAGACTTATAGGCAACTCTTAACAACTATAGTCTTGAGAAAAAGAGAAAAGAGGAACATGTTGGGAGGGGGGCAGGAGAAGAAAAAAGCAGCTGAACTTGGGGGGAGGGGCTGTATTAACCATTAATAACCAGTTGGCTCATTTTTACTGGTGATATCGTTCAATCTTCCGATAAGAAACACAGGTATCTCCAAGAAAAGGGTTAATATTTAGGCAATCTCACCTAAAAACACTAAAGACATCCACTAAAATTAAGGGAGAGAAAAATATTGTGAATTTATGGATTAACGAGGAGTGACTACGATGTTAAAATACTAGCTGTCTCAGCAATGCCTATGCTTTACTCTAGATTTCCAAAAGTACCTTAAGTGGAGCAGGCTCTACTTCCTCAACGCTATTACTTAAGGATTTTCATTAGTAAAAAAATATTTCTTAAAGAACTCTTTTCTTCCCACACAGTGTTTACGCATCAGACACAGACTATTTCATTCTAACAAATTTATTTTCTCGATCAGCTCTTACGGAATCACTACTCAAATTAAATTACAATCAAATGATCACATCAAAAGATACCCTTATTACCTAACAACTGTCCATATTTTCATTTCATTTTGATTTGTGCTCGTCTGAAAAAAACACGTAATACAAGATCTGGGGAAAAATAAATTACCGTTTTGCAGCAGTTCATAAGTATTCTGAATAAAATATTAAAAGAAGTCATTTAATGAAAATATAAAGCAAATATTTTTAGATCAACAACGGATCTAACAATTCTATATTGCCGTCTTTTGAAAAGTCTGTTTATTAAAACCTACCAAAAACACTGCTTGGAAATGGCAGTATTATATAATCACATCCACAGCACCCATTCAATCAAAGTTGGCAACGGATTGAGGAGAGAAGTCCAGAGAAGTGCAGCGGCTGGTGCTCAGTCTTTCTAAATTCCTTTATCTGAGTCAGTCCAGAAATAAAAAATAAAAATATTAATAAAAAAAATATTAGCGGTGGAATCTTTAGGCATCGTCCACCCTGAATG